TTGGATAAATGTAGCCAAACCGAGAGTAATCGTCTGTGAATGTTATGAATGAATCATAACCATCCACACTTTTCACAGAAAAAGGACCACATATGTCTGTGTGAATAATCTGTAGAATTCCTACGCTTCGTTTGGCATCTTTCTTAATTTTCTTTACATACTTTCCTTTTATGCAATCTCTACATTGTTCTAACTCTGAGAGCTCTAATGGAGGAAGAATATCATTCTTAACTAGTCTTTCTATTCTCCCCCTCGAAATATGGCCTAAACGACAGTGCCATAATTTCGACAACGTATCGTGAGCTCTCTTTTGTTTTCTGTTTCCATTGTTCGATGAGGATACATTCTCATTCACATCACATACGGAATTCACATTTTCAGGAAGTGATAACAAATAAAGCTCGTCTTGTCGGAAGGCAAGACCAACACATTTATTATTAAACAATATCTGACATTTGCCATTTCCAAAATGGCAATCATAACCATCATGGTCCAACTTTGATACACTAATCAAGTTTCTTTGTAAAGAAGATACATAAAGAACATCTCTAAGAAAAAGTATAAAGCCATCAGCAAGCTCTAGCGGAAGATCGCCAACGGCCTCAACATCTGCTTGTACTCCATTTGCGACTTTAATGAAACTTTCGCTTCTTTGCAAAGTTCTCATCGAACGGAATCCCTGTAATGAATTAGCAACATGAATAGTTGCACCCGAATCAATCCACCAAGTAGATTTTGAAAACTTTACATACAAGGATTCATTTACGAACGTAATAATGTTCTCACCTTTATTTTTCATTATCATCTTTAGAAAATCAGGACAATTCTTCTTATAATGTCCTGTCTTCTTACAGTGGAGACACTGATCTTTAGCCACTGGGAATTGGTTGTTCTGAGACTGTTGCATGGGACCCTTTCCAGATGACTTGGAGGAAGAACTGTTATTATAGTTCTTTTTCTTATCTTTTAGGTAGTTGACAGAACCACCTTGTGAAACTTTTATTCTTTCCTCCTCCTGCACACACATGGCTATGAGCTTTTCTAAATCCCATTTTCAGGCTGTATGTTGTAATTAACAACAAAGGTGTCAAATTCTTTGGGCAAAGAAGCAAAAATCAAATGAATAAGAAACTCATCCTTGAGTGCCATATCCATTGGTTTGAGCTTAGATGCCAGATTGCTCATTCTCAGTATGTGCTCTCTAATACCACTACCGCCACCAGAGTACATTTCTGTAACCAGCTGCTTGATCAGCTGGGTTGCATATGTCTTTGAAGAGCCAGTGAACTAACTCTTTATTCTATCTAGGTACTCTGTGACCGTGTCACAGTCTGGAATTGAGCCCACAATAGTAGGTTCAATCGTGTTCTTTATCACTGCCAAACACTTCTTGTTGGCAGTGACCCATTTCCTATGCTCAAGGTCATAGGACATCTTTACGGAGAGCAAATCCGCTCTCTGCTTACGCCATGCAAAGATCGGGCCTCATCTGCCTCCCTCATCGGTGCCACAGTTTTCTTCCTGGGACACGGTGTGGTGACAACCCACCACCTCAAATGAGGATAAAAGCCAGTGTCTATCTTTTCTTCCACCCAATATAGTTATCATCTTTAGAGTGGGGATCTCTTTGATACAACTCATCAAGTTGTATCCTCCTCAAAACACAATTCAAATAGTGTGAGAACAGAAATAACAATAATAATTGCATGCCTTAGTTTAACGTTGGTCAAAATTAAAACATACAATTATTTTATACATTAAATCTACATCACCGTTGAGTAGAAATAGAAATAATGCATAACAAAAACCATAATAACATCAATATTATAATATTGCTATTAATCAACGTTATCGAATAATAACAACATTATAATAACGTAAAAATTATCTAAGTTTCAAAATTAAATTCTCCGTTGGTTCAATTTAATAATGAAAGCAACAATTTTTAAGTACGCAAATGAAACTTTAATAAATCTTTTAATTCTATTTTCCGAAATCACATTACACACTTTACTATTCTCTGAACAAAATTGACGTTAGATCAAAATTGTATAGATTTCAACATCATAATTCATTCAATTCATCAAATATGAATGAACAGTTTCTCGAAAATAAAAAGAATTCAATTTCACTGTTACGGCAATTTCGCCCATAGCAAGCGGTACTGCCCAGCCCACTACCATGCCCACCATGCATGCCTCCCTCAACCCCCTAACGCTTAGGCCATAACTCCGGGCTGGGCTGGAAATTCGCCTCGCCCTATCTCGCTCGGCCAATTTTTGGCCCGAGCGCCTCGTCGTTGATCCAGATCGAGCGGTGGAGCGCACAGCTCGGGGCATCAAAAGCTCTGATACCATTGTTGTATTCTGTGGATCGACTAGGGTAGATCTACGGGGTTTGCTGTTGAACATGATGAACTAGAACAAGCAGAGAGTGGGAGATAGGGTAGAGGTGCTGGTGTTGAACCCGAGCCTTCGGATGAAGTCGCAGCTTGAGCTGGCCATCGCCGGTTCGTTGATGGAGGCAAAGACACGGGCAAATGACGGGTGGAGTAGAGGTTGCACGACGATGCGATGCGTGCGGGAAGGCGTAGCGATGACGACGGCGAGAGTCAGCCGAGCTTCCCTGTCACCAGTCGCGCTTCCTCTTAGATCGGTCTAGGGTTTGTCGGTGGGGTTTGCGGCTCACGGCGAACCTCGTGCTTTGAGCCGTCGGCCCCCCACCACTTTATATAGCGTAGTTCGACGGGGGCCTACCAACCATGTAGGGTTAGGCGCCCCTGATTAGGGCGCATAACCAAGGCCCAATAGACCGTTGGGCTTATTAGTTAGGAGATCAATCTAACATATGAGAGACGACGACTGTTTGTCATTGGCATCGATCTGATCCATGCACGCATGCATCCGTAACGTGCAAAGCCTCATCGCGCGCGGCAACTAACACTGCGCGTGTGTGGGGCTAGCTAGGTAGCCGGTAGGGGTCCGATCGATCGATCGATCGATCCGCATGGCAATTGGCAATGCTAGCTCTCGAGTTGCCGACGACTCCATGGGCCACATCGGAGCTAATGGCCGACCGGGCGCTGTAGCTACGAGAAGTTTCCTGCGTGCGACGCTGGCCTCCTGGCCCTCCGATCCGATCCCCGGCCGGGCAGCCGGAGGAGGTTGTGTTCCCCGATCCGGCGTGCATCCGTACCTGCAGTGCCCCCGCCGGGGCCGGGCCATGGATGGGTGGAATTGAATTCCGTGGCAGGGAGGGGGTTGCCAATTATATTGCCCCACACCAGTAAACAACGTAATAGCACCGGTGGCAATATAATGCGCGATCCATCCATCCACCTGTGGCCTGTGTGTGTGGGTGCCCGGCTGGGCGCCATGGATCGGAGGCTCGGAGCAGCCCACGCATGGGCACATCGCCGCTGGCCATGCCCATGCATATGCATTGCGGCAGTCCTGTTCTCTGTTCTGCATGCAGGAGATCATACATATATCTGGGTGGGGTGGGACGTGGGTGCACATTTTCAGCAGGACCTTTTTCAGCAGAGCTTGGACAGCGGAGGGGAAACTTTGGCAGCAGCATGGCTAGCTGCACCTGGACACAAACTCGCTCTTAACTTCAACTCCAGCAGATAGTTTCAGCTGCTCCTGAATCGGTTTACGCGATTCAGGTAAAGATTTCTCACGCCACGGGTTTCTCGATCCATCGGGGGAGACGGAGACTAACATAACATCACAAGCAGAGCCACGCCTCAGTCCTCACACACCCCTGGCAACCAAACCAAACCAGGCGGCTAGCTACCGCAGCGAAACCACCGCGGGCCAAATAAAGCTTATTGCACCTAGCTGCTCAGATTAATCCTGCAGTACTGCAAGCTTCTCTCACCAGTTTCGATTTAATTTGCGCCTTCTACCTATATGCGATGCATGAGAGCTGAATTGCTGAAAGCCCAGCCGGCAGCCTTTTCCTTTCACCTACCTAATTTGGCGGCAGAGCATGACTTTAGGCGTATATATATACATACTACTACAACAAGCGAAATTTTCACATACTCTTTTTTGGAGGGTCGCTGATGACTCGCTTCACATGCCTGCCTGCCTGCCCTTGTGCGCGTACGCTCTCTTGCATCGCATCGCATCGCATTTGCATATTGGCGCGCGCAAGCACGTGAAATGAAACGGACTCCTTTAACATATATAACCAGTCACGTACTAGAGTAGTACCTGCAACAGCATGACAACAAGTCTTTTTTTAAGAAAAGAAAAGTAAAGTAAAACAACAGCAACATGCATGCATGACAAGTCATGACATTATAGCTCATATTATTACCAATAATAACAAAGTTATAAAAATAACTCCACGGTACATTGCATGCATGGTCATAGATACTTGATGTTGACGCTTTCATTGAAATCCAGTCAAACTTTTTAATACTTTGACCATCATCAATAGCTTTCAAAATATTTTGTTTCGAAAACACAAAAGTCGCCGGTATAGATTTTGTCTTAAAAAACTACTCTCATACTTATGCGTGACTAGGGACTAAGACTAGATTGTAGCCTCTTTTTGTCCTTAAATTGCCAAACAAGGAGACTAAAAGAGGGACTAGTAATCCCTAGTCCACTAGTCCCTTCAGAAGTGCTCATTGGGACTAGTGGCCCAACTTTTCAGCCCATGCCCCTCAATTTCGCTCCATCAGTCACACTCGCTCGAATTCTCCCTGAACCCTATCATCTCGCTCACACTCCTCCTCGCCGCCGCCTCGCTCGCCCGCACGACACTGCCTCCGTTCCTCCCAAGCTGGCGCCGCCCCTCCCACTCCTCCACACGGCGCATCCACCATGGACATCTAATACAATCACTATCGGGATTCCTTCACTCAGGCATCGGTTTCTTCCTACGCCACATCCGGCTCCTCTGCTTATCCTGCCTTCCCCGCCATCGACGAGTTCTCCCAGGCCCCGCCTTCTCCCTTCATCGACAGCAGCCAGTCTACTCCCCACATGTGCATGGAGAACCTAGATTTGAATTCCCAGGTCGACGCCTTCCCCCACCTCGACGTCTTCCCCAACCAGGAGCAGCTGCAAGCAGATGGAGGTCGCGGTGGCCATGGCCTTCCTCCGCTTTGCCCTGGCGGCAAAGGCAGTCTCAGCCACTTTCACCCTCCACGCCCGAGCTCTCATAGCCGATCTGGAGCTAGATCCGGCGGGCGGCCATCACGATCTGGTCCGCAAGGGCTTCCAATGGCCGGAATCGATGGTGGTGGCCGCAGGGGAAGGGTGCCCCTCCGCGTTGGCCGTGGATCCACATTTGCGGGCACTGCAGAGGATGTAGACCGCGCCGACGAAAACGAAGAACAAGATGACAACGACTTTGATCCACGTTTTCAGTCGGCATGATCGGGTTTTGTACTAGTTGGTTAGTCATCAACAAAAAAGAAAGAGTGACCCCAACTAGATAACAGTATGCGGTTTGTGTTTGACCTCTGCTGCTCTGCCGCCAGTACTATTACTGTGCTATATTATATTACTAGTTGATGTTGTCTTGCTGCATTACAGCACTAATTAAACTGCTAGCTACGAGAGGCAAAATCTGGCATTCTATTACAGTCAGGTTGAAGCCTTAGCGCTAATTAAGCAGCAGCAGCAGCTCAAGCTCTCGAGGCTCTGAACGAATTCTCTTTTTCTCTGATGTGGTCCGCCACCATTTGAGTGACCCCTCTGGATTCGAGGATCATATATATCTATTTCATATGTTGGGGTTCAATTTCAGTTAATACACGGTGGAGTGAGTGAGTAATAAGCAAGCTAGCGAGAGATGTGGCATATCTCTGCTGCTGGAGTGCGTACGTAGTGCAAATTTGTAATCATAGACAGAAGAAGTGCTATTACTGAATGAATGAAGGAATCTTGGATTGAATTGGTGCAGGCATGGAATGCTCGAGCACTAGTAGTTAGTTACTACTAGTTTTAATATTTCTTGTATTATATTAGATTGTTGGTTAGCTTAGCTACATTCTATAGATGATAGATTGTAGTTGTGGTAGAGCAGAGTAGATGATGATGCTTTTTATTTTTGCCTTTCTGTTCTGCTCAGTGGTAGGTACCTTTTGCTGCTAGTTCCATGCTACTTATGTAGTTACCTCAATCATATTTGTTTTAACTAGGAGCATTTCCATGCAACATATTTGAGTATTGCTGCACATGTATCCTTAGAGTTTGGGTACTACACACATGAATGATGTGAATTAGAAAGATTAGATTTATTGCCATGCTACTGGTGTAGTTAGAGTTAGACTACTTTTTACAGTAGCATTACATTTTTATAGTTTCAGTTTATTGTCTTCGTGTGAAGTAGTATATGACTTTTATTTCAATTAGCTGAAGCCACAAGTACCTTTTATTTGTCTGCATTTTGTACACCAATTTACAGTTGAGTTTTAGCCGCATTATAGATATGTGATGCCATCACTGTTATAGAAGGATTATGACAAGGCACATTGGAGTGACCAAAACATATACTATTTTTGTGAACTTTTTATTGAGCAAATGAGAAAAGGGAATTGGAATAATAGGACAATGACCACTAGAGGTAACAACGAAATTCGAAAAAAATATTACCACATCACAAATCTCTGGCATGACACCAAATGCATGAAGAACCAAGTGAAAAATTGTAAGACAATGTACCAGTTCTTGTTGAAGCTTAATCAAAACACAGGGTTGGGCCGAAAACCTGATGGTACAATTGATGCATTGCATGAGCGGTGGACCAACAACACAAAGGTACTTACTGCTTTGGTTTCACCTAGACTATGTGTAGGGGACAGTGACACCTAAGAGGGGGGTGAATTAGGCAACTTAAATTTCTAACTATAAACTATGGCCTCTTTTTCTAACCCTAGCAAAACCTATGCAATAGATAAACTATCTAAATGTGCAACTACAGTCTTGTTAGTGTGTTGCTATCTCTACCGCAAAAGAAGTAATACAATCAATGTAAATGCGGAAGCTAAAGAGCAAGGTAGAGATATGCAAACTCCTGTCGACAACTCCGGTATTTTTACCGAGGTATCGAGAAGCATGCAAGCTTCCCCTAGTCCTCGTTGAAGCCCCTCACAAGTAATCCCTCGCAAGGGCCAAGCTCCTCGGTCGGATAACTCCGTGGATAGCCTCGGGCCTTCCCCACGCGCAAGTGGGTCTCCGAAGTGCCTTCCGGCAAGCCTCTCCCGGATGCTCCCTGCCGTCTTCACTATCAAGCTTCCGGCCAAAACGCCGCGGGCCTTGTTCCCTCCGGTACACGGTGGCGGCCACACCACAAACGCGGTTGTTGTGATCTCGCAAGACTACAAGCCCCTCCGATGTACAACAATGGTGCGCGCAAGCACCGAGTGGTAAGAGGTATGCAAACCTCACTAAACACTAAGTCTAAACCTAGAGCAAGCGCATAAGCGGTGGTCTAATCAACCTAAGCACTTCGCAAAGCACCTACGCTAATCACCTAATAAAACATTAAGCACTATGCAAGTGGAGATCACTAAAATGGTGTATCAACACCCATGGTATGTTTCCTCAGCTCCACACAGCTCATTTGGCCGGTTGGGGGTTGTATTTATAAGCCCCACTGAGAAAGTAGCCATTAGAGACGAAGTCCCACTTTTCTGCTATTGACCGGACGCTGAAGTCGTCCTGACCGGACGCTGTCGTCGTCCCGACCGTTGGAGCCGCGATTAACTGATCGGACGCTGCCAGCGTCCGGTCACATGCCACCGGACGCGTCCGGTCGCATTTTCGCCACTCTAGAACCTCTCTGTACTCGACTGGACTTTGTTGTCCTGCGTCCGATCGATCTACCGCCTGCGTCCGGTCACTGCTTTTGCCGATCCTCTTGATCGGGCATCCGATCACTGCGCTACCAGCGTCTCGGTCCAGTGTCCGGTCACTTCTGTGAGCTCGTTTCTTCGCGATCTTGTGTACGGCTTGGTTTCTTTCTTAGTGCTTGGACTTTGCTTGATATCTTAGGTCTTCCCTTGTGCTTTTAAGGTCTTGCTTATGGTGTTGATCATCGGATCATCACGTTGCCTTCGTCCAAGTCACGTCTTGTACCCTATTGAACTACAAAACAATCACTTGCAAATTCATTAGTCCAATTTGGTTGTGTTGGTCATCAAACACCAAAATCCAAAGTAAATGGGCCTAGGGTTTATTTTCCTTATAATCTCCCCCTTTTTGGTGATTGATGACAACACGATCAAAGCAAGCAAATAAATAAAAATTTGGAATTTAAAAACTATCTACTTGCTAGGATGCATTGCAAGGGGCAAGGTTATATGATGCTAAAAGATACTACTTGTAAGACTAGAAGATGCCACTTGAACACTTATCTTGCCCTTGCAAATGGCCCCATGTGGCATTATGGATTTAAGCCTTGTTTCCTACAAATTCTCCCCATTATATAGGTAATCCATAATCCACTATCCTCCCTTTCTCGGACCATTACCACTTGTGGACACCACTTGTAGACCATTACCACTTGTAAATTATTATGATTTATCTTTTGGTCCTACAAACTAATGCTTGCTTTTGGTCCTCTAAATTCTCTCCCTTTGGAATCAAACACCGAAAAGGAAGACATTAGTAGCACAAGGGAGGGTCAAACTTTGTGACCTTTGTATGTAGAGTGAAATAGGTCACAAAATTTGACTCTCACATTATATAGATTAAGCTCCCCCTACATATATGCATACATATGGTAGAAGGAAAAGCATATGCATAATTGGCAAATTATTGCTCAAGGGAATTTAATCTATATAATGCATGGAGAAAGCATATAAATATCAAAATAAAATCAACATGGTGATATCAGTTTAGAAATACCACATGTGGAAATCAACTTGATTTCTACCACTTGCAATTTGTGGTGGATATTTGAAGTATGATGCTTAACTCCGGGGACTCCATTTTCTTGCAATGAGACTACTACACACATGATAAGCTTGAAAAAGTGTTAGTCTCAAAGCATCCAACTTATAGAGTAACCTCCCCCTAAATTTGTGCACACAAGTATGGATTACTTGTAGGAAACATGCACATTGATTTTAGAATAAAAAATACCACTTGAAAGATGACATCACATGAATGTGGGAGTCATTTTTGAAGGCGATATTTGGGAGAAATTATCTACAATTTGGACTTTGGCACATATTAGATGAGCAATCAAAAGACAAGCTATGTGCCATGCTCCTAAATAATTTTAAACCATGTAGGTTTGCTCCAAGGGTTAAGAATGAAACCAAGCAAGCCTACCATAAGATATACCTAGTGTATGCATGACAAAAGATATAAGCATGCAAATACAAATATAGGCATGAAAAGTAACTAGATGCTTAAAGATACCAATTTATAAGAAATACCACTTGTAGGAAATGCAAATTGATACTACTTGAAGGAAATTGAATCTAGTTACCTAACATGGGAAGGGGAATTTGGGTACATAGTATTCACTAACCCACTTGGCAATGATTTTGCCCATCATGATGCACCCCATGAAATGCACCTATACTTTGCCAAGTCTCCAAATTGCCTGAAGTCCATCGGACTACTCACTTCCCTTTCGAATCCAAACCTTCTTGGTGCTCTTCATGTTGGAAATGATTTCCTTTGGCACCCAAAAAGCGTTTGACCCCATTGTTGGCTTGCTTGTTCACCTTGATGGCCACCACCTTGTCATTTTTCTTCTTCTTTAACAAGTATGGTGTGGAGGCCTTCTTGTCCACCTTGTTGGTGTAGGTGTTGGAGAGCTTGCTTGTTTGCTTCTTCTCTTTCTTCTTTGCTCCTCCCCCATTCTTCACTTTGCACTCATAGGACTTGTGACCTTCCTTGTGGCATACGTAGCAAACCATGGTTTGTCCTTTATCAAGCTTTTTCACTCCCTTGACGGTGTTATCTTGATGAAGTTGGGCTTGCTTCGCCTTGCCTTTCACTTGAGTCAAGTCCTTGGTGAGGCGAGCTACTTCTTGCTTGAGTTGCTCATTCTCCTTTACAACCTCTTGTGTGCATGTATCTACAACAACTTTTTCAACACAAACTTGGTTGCACAAAGATGAGTCTAAACATAAATCATTACAAGAAGTAGAGGCATCCTTTTTAGACATGTTAAAGATAGAACTTTTCTTTTTAGATGCCTTAGAGGGGTTTGTACTAACGGCTTCAAGATTAGCAACTTTATTAGTTAGCTCATCACAATGTTTGCACATGGTTTCCATTTTAGCAAGTAAACTTTTATAAGCATCTTGTGAGCTAGCTAACTTTTTTTTAATTTTTTATTTTTCTTTTCAAGTTGCTCATCATTGATTGTGCATGCATTTGTTGTTGCATTAGCCTCAAGTTGCTCAATTTTA